ACTATATCAGTTCAGACTCAATTTTTTCTTTGTACTTTCTTTTCTCTGATGATTTTGTACTAAACTGTATTGCTGTCTAAAGAATATATTGCAGGGGAGAGGAAGTTGTTTAAAAGGAAGCTTAAATTAGGAATTTCATAAATACTTAAGCTTGATGGAAGAAAAATCAAAAAAATGGATTACAAGTTCTTTAAATTTTGTAGTTGATGTTCCTGTTTTATATTATTTGTTCAGATTATTTCTGCTGTGCCCAAAGCACTGCAGAAAATGGACATGAAACATCTAAGTGATTGGTTACTCTCTGGTCACCTTGCCCAGAAAACTACTGTCAACTGTCAGTCAGGTGCCCCACCTCATTAATGTGCAAAATCTGAAATACAGCTCTGAAATAGTTAACTTTGACTGTGATGTTTATGCACCAGCTAATATGTTGGAATAAAAAAATGATTATACTCTAAAAAGTAATGTTTTTAAATATACAATAAATATTTATAAGCAGATAAGTTATTTTATAATATACCTCTAAAAGCATAAATCCCAAGCCTTGAAACTAGAATTCAGACCCAGAAGGGGCTACTCACTGTCCCCATTAGGCCGATGAAGAAAATTAGGACCTTTATCTAGTTCCATCTTACTGCTGTCTACATTTCTATGTGAAATGAATATGCCTGCCAAAAACACACTCAGAATTCCACTGCTAACAGATACGTGTACAAATAAAACTTTGGAAAACACATAAAGAGAAGAAACAGCATGTTCTGAATGCTGTGGCAATCCCAACACAATTTTCATTAGTCCTGGCCCCTGGCAAAAAAGCATTTTGGTAACTCAGACACTGGATGAATATACCAACTCTTAAGTCTAAGGCTAACGAGGAACTACTTGTATAGTGTGATTCTGTTGGTGACCTAAAAGGTGTTACTTCTAGTGGAAAATCACCACAAAAATAACTTAACAACTTTTCAGCCCAGAGAGACATTCAAAAGGTTATTGGTTCCAAAGAATGCTAGTTTGCCCTACAAGAATTACTTCAATTTACATTTTAAATGCATTTTTCACTACCTACTTCTACAAAGCACTTGCAGCAACAATTGAGAAATGATACACATATAGCAGAATTTTTGAAATGAAATAGAAAATAAATTATGAGGAGATCATTATAGCAAAAGCCCAGATTTCGCCTCTTCATCACAATGAAACTCAGATAAATATTTTTACAAGTGCAACTTTTTTAGGGAAAACAGATTTTCTTGGTATCACAGTCTAAGATTGATTTATTATATTGGAATATATAAAGTTTATTAAGCAATGTGAACATACTACAAGATGGAAATATCTTCATTAATTGTTTTACTGAAGTTACACAAAGGTCCTTTATTTGAATCTGTGATATCATAAATATTAAAACATAAATTGATGACTATTTATATAAAGATATAATTTATTAAGATTACCAGAGATGAAGTCCTCTGGTGATAGAGAAAAAAGTTGTTAAAAGACTAAAGTCAAAAAAAAAAAAAAGACTGAAGTCATGTGTCTATGCAAGGCCTCTACTATTAAGTGTGGATTTACATCATGGATTTTAAAAATCCCTTTATTTTCTAAGTGCTAAGTGACAGAACTTAGTGTTGTTGGTTAAAAGCATATGAACGTACTTTTTGTGATGGTGTTTCCTTCCTAGGAAGTTCTAAAACCTAAAGTGTTTCTCTTGAGTAAAAAGAATCATCTCTTCTGTATACAAATCTCAGCTGCAAAGGCATCTGCAGACAAAACCTCAAGTGTGCTCAGGAGACACCATTTATAAATGCTCTGTGCCAAAGAGCCTCATTGATTCCAAAGTCCTCATGACATTCATGAAAAACATAATATAAACTCCTGCCTTGGCTATTAAAAGAGCTTTGCCTTTATTCTTTGCCTCACAGACATGGTATGAAAATATATTTCTAAAATGTCCAAAGGAGACTTTTAACATACAGATTTGATAACCTAACTAGGTGAGAGGACTTGGGACTTTTCATTGTAAGAGGCCCAGACGTTTACTTAGAGTCTGGATCTCAGTAAGGTCAGAGGGCACCTCGTCATCTTGGGTCTTATCCATCCGTGGAATTTCAGTGTCCACCATCTACCCCAAAATTCACCTTGCTGCTTCTACTTGATGGATGATTTTTACTTTCTGGAATTTAGAGAAATTATGCTGATGGAATTTAACCCAGTCTCAAAAACGAAATAGAAAACATCTTTTCTTTCTTTCTTTCCTTTCACTTCGGTGTCACCACTAGTCATTACTGAATTGTGTCTCTCCTAGGACATTACTTCCTTTCTGGCACCTGCCATATGACTGGATCATAGGATTTTAGGTAAATACTGGATGATGTGACTACTGGTAATGGACTCAGAGTCCATCAGGGAAGGTCAGGTGAATAGACTTAAAGCTATGAGTTCAATCATAGGAGAAACTAGCCCACATAAAGAAATTTCAAAACAAAAAGATATTTCAAAACAAAAAATTCCTGATTTGTCTTCATGACTGAAATTTTAAGTGAATTATTCATAAACAACCAAGAAATTATTTTTCACAAAATTTCTGTTAAATTTGTAACTGCCCCCACTAGTGCAGGAGAAACAGACCGACATATCAAGTGGATGGATGACCATTATGCACCACCCTGAGGAAATGGATTATATTCCAGGATGTACTAAGCAGGTCTAGACCAGTTAGGGCGAACTTTTTAGAGCTTTCAATGATACAAACAGCCCACTGTGGCTCACAGGCCATAGGTTTGCCACCACTGCTCTAGAAATGGGTCTCTGACCAGGAAAGTCAGGCCTGAGGAAGATGTCCCAATGTAAGATGTTGGACAGCCAGAAGACACACAGGACGGTACCTGGGGAGGAGGCTGACCAAGAAAATGAAGTGGATCATAGGATAAAGGCAAAAGTGCCAAGGGCAAGCTTACACCACTTGCCAACTTACCAAAACTGGTTATCAGGGGGTCAAATGCATTTTACTGAAAATCAGTCCAAATTTCTCTCTGAGGATCTGTGGCTAATTTCTTGAATCTTTTGACACACTCTGCACATTCCTTTTCTCTCACCACAATCACACCCTGGTGGAAGCTGTGCCGACTGCCAGCATACCAGTTGGTCAATCAGTCCCCCACTCCTGCTTAACCTGCACTTAACCTGTTGTCAGTTGGTCAGGAATCCATATCCAGCACTGGCCAGAAACAGTTGCCCAAGTGAAAGTATGACCTCTATAATAGCTACATTTTCTCTTCTAGGACCCTAAGATCATGAAGCAATCATTTTTTTCTTTTTTTTTTGTACTGGGGACCGAACTCGGGTCCTTGTGCTTGCGCAGCAGGCAGCAAAACCAGAGCTAAATCCCCGGCCCACAATCATTTTAACTGACTAAAGTATCTAAGTAGGTGGGCAAGGAATCTCAACTTCCACACAGGATCTGGTCTTTCTATCTTAAACAAAGAGGTGTAGTTAGATTGCAAGTAGCAGGCAGGCACATAATTTATCAGGAGTGGATGCGGATTTGGCATGAAGTCTACCTTCCTCATTCCCTAAAACTCTCCCATGGAACAACATACCTGAAATGATGGCAAGGAGAATCTGTCTCTATCCAACACTACCTTGCATTCCCAGCTGCTAAGGGTGCCCTGTTTGAGTGGTTCCCCGCTGAGGTTAAATTTAGAATCAGTGATGCAGTTATCATGCTTTTCTGAAGTCACACATGTACTTAGGAGAAAGCAGGGATCAATTTGTGGGATTGGGAGAACCTTTAAGGACATATGGCAGGCGAATGCACATTTGAGGGGTCATTTGAGATTTAATTATTTACTGCTGTTGCTGCACCTTGCATACAAATACCCAAATAAAAATATTTAAGTACATGCAGATTATGATATTAAATCCTATATATGAACTAAGTATGATTTAAATTCAAAAGAAGGCTTTAAAATAGATTTGCTCTAGCACTATTTTAGCATTATAAAAGTATACTGTTTCTATTAATAAGACAGTGATAATCCTTAATCAATTCATAAAGTGACCACATTTTATCTAATTATAGTCCTACAGGTTCACACTCATTCAATATGTAACAACCACAGAATGCCAGAAGTTTCTCAATTTCTATTATTCTATATTTAACTGTACATCAACAACCAGTGGCTATAACTTGACATTATTAGTATTGGTATTGTTTAGTATCTTTATATGTTTTGTATAATTTTGAGAAAAGAATTAAATTGATGTATAATTCATTTTGCTTTAAAAACATTTTGTCTTAAAAGACAGAAATTGTGTTCATTTTCTGCCTACTTTAAATTGTTAATTCCCAATTCTGAATTTTAACAGACATAGTTTAAAATCAATAATTAAAAAATCAGTTGGAAGACAGCTGCTCCAAAGGAAGTGTCCCTCCCCCCAAATAAAAATTTAGCCCCATTTATTGTATGGTAATTACATTTTTCCCAGCCACAAATTTCACCAGTGTGTAATTTTTCTTATTGCTCTATTGTTTCTTAACTGCTGGTCTGATTCCTAGCTCCAATATATGTACTCTAGTACAGTAGTTATCAAGTTCAAATTTATCTCGTGATATATTACTTCAGAAAGATGGAGCATTTAGAGAAATAAAGCCTGCCCTTGAGTATAATCAGTTGAAAGAACCAAGCACAATATTTTCTCTTTAGAGGGCTGTGCATCTATTGTCAGAAACAAGAAAGGATTGCATAATGCTGCAAAAGTTTTTCCAGTACTATGTCATTCATGTTCTTGAATAGTTAAGATGTTTTTAAAATATACTTTGAGGAGCTGATAAGAGCTCATGTACAGAATTTCAGAGAACAGAAAATAAGAGGACTCCTCCATTATGCAGGAAGTTAGACTTCAGACACACTCTTCACTTTTTGCTGCAGCTCAGCGCCAGAATGCTGAGGACGAGAAACTATTGTTGCTGGAGCCACCTGGGATGCTGTGTTACTTACCGAAAGATGGGTCTTTGGAGATGTTTCTTCCTGATGGTGACATGGTCATCCATTTAAAGGTGAAGGCTTAACTTCTTCCTGGAAACTACTCCAGAAAATCCAGGGAGGGAATGTGGAAGCTTATCCTGATCTATTGTGTTGCAAGAAGCCCAGAAGGAAAAAGTAGTTTCCTCTTTCTCTTTTTGGGTGCTGGGAGAAAACTTCCCTGCTCTCTGCCAGCTGAGCAGTGTGTCCATAGAGGCCACATAAGACAGGCACGTCAGGGCACTCCCCCACTGGGAGCAGGGTGTGCAAAAACCACCACGAGTCACACTGACACGGATGAGAGACTTGCACAGGACCTTCTGAAACAGAGCAAAACAAACAGAAAGCGTCCCACTCCAAGTGTCATCCAGGTAGGAGCTCCCTACGTGATTGCAGCCATGAGAGCTGTCCTTCCACATGCTGGTCCAACTCGGCGGGGCTAAGTCCCTCCCTGTCTTTAAAACAGCTTGTTCAGAGGCTCAACTTTTTTTCTTCAAAATAAAAGTTGTACAGCTGGTTCAGCAGTCCATGGGAGCACCCTCTGGGACTGTCCTGTTAAAATAGGAACTGTATACGAATGAGTAAAGAAAGATGCGCCTGGACCGCCTGGCTGGTTCTGCTTCCAGAGATTATAATTATTTTACAATTTTGCTTTTGTTCACACTGGATGAAGTGTGGGATGGCTCATCATTTTTAGCACTCATAACCTAATAACCTGCACTTGGCTGAAGTGGAAGATGCCATTTCCACTGATAGAAGCCCAAGAGAAGGGAGCCAGAGCAGTGAAAGTTAGAAAAACAAAAATTGCTCAATTCTGTTGGTGACCTTGTACCCAGATGTGTGAACCCAGATGCAGCTTCCCGAGAGAGAGAGAGAGAGAGAGAGAGAGAGAGAGAGAGAGAGAGACATGATACCCCCCAAATTGCCTAGAAGCCTAAGGTTTTATTTTATGGTGGAATGTGAACTTAAAGAAAAGTATGTAAAAAAAGAATGTGTAGGCAGCTCAAAATAGATGACATTAAAAATTATTTTATGTAGAAAACTTAGAATTACATGGCATGTATTTATTCTAATTACAGATAACTTACATCTTCATTTTTTAACATACAGTGGACCCTTGAGTTATGACTGGCCTGACATAAAAATAACTTGGGTTACCACCAGAATTTTAGTTTTAATTTATGACCAACATCTTGAGTTACAATCCAAATGCTGGTTGCTTGTGCTTCCAGATGGTCTCAGATACAGACTTAACCCTTAAAGGGTTCTGGAAGGAACATGACAGAATCCTTTCCTGTGTGGGGTTAACTGAGAAATCCTGGGCCAGTGTCTCTCTAAGGTCACCGAGACCTGCATGTATACAGGAGAGAGACTTTGAAGGCTGTGGAGAGGAGCCTGAGCCTTCAATTGACCAATTTGAGTTATAACCAGCATTCAGAAATGAATTGAGTTCATAAGTCAAGTGTCCACTGTATCTTATTTTGGAAATTTTTCTGAATCCCCTAACAAAGTTCCTCTCAGTTGATACTGTCATAAGAATCCAGGCCATAGGTTTGGCATGTAATAAAATAAACCATCTGAGATTGGCTTTTCAGGAACATAATGAAAGGAACACAATGTAAATGGCAACAAACATCTAGCCAAGGTATAGTTCAAATGGCAGGAAAGTATGCAGTCTAATTTGAAGCTCAAACACTTGATTATAACTGAAGAACGCAAAAGTTTTTAAATCGATCACAGGAAATCTAGAACATAAGACTAACATTCTTTTATCTCTTAAGTGATTAAGAGAGACAAATGAGATTTGCATTCATATTAAGCACTATATTTAAACCCAATCTTCATACCTGAAGAGCCATGGGATGGAACCCATAAATTAAATATTCACATAGCAGAAAAAAATATATATATTTTTAAAAAATATTTTCATTAACTTTTCTCAGAGTATTTAGGTTTGATTTTGGGAAGGAGTGTTGCCTTTACTAACATAACAATTTTAATGTAGTATTTAATAAAATGGAAAAAGCTCACTATTGTTTAAATTACACTGACACAACTGCACTATGTTAATGTAACCAGGCCAATTACATTATAAAATAGACAAACTATAACTTATTATGAATAGTCTCCCTTCCAGGAGAAGGATTCAGAAATGGTGTTTATATTTTTCCTGATGTGATAAAACAAATGCAGCCTGACTCTAACACTTCACACACATGGATACACACATACACACACACACTCAGGTTAAGAATGACAGTGTCCCTCCAAGGCCTCATGCACTTTGGAAAGGTGGGGTCTTCATGGGGGTGATATAGTTTAGTTTACTTGTTGTTAGGAGATAGGGCCTCGCTGGAGGAGGCAGGTCACAAGGGTCACTCTTCTCCTCACTCTCTGTTTCCTGGCCACCATGATACATGCAGATTTCCTCCACTCAAGCCCTTCCACCATGCCATTTCTGTCTTGAAGCAGCAAACTATGGGCTGAAAACTGTGAGCCACAATAAACCTCTGCTCTTTGAGTTGCAGGTGTCTAGTATTTTGTCTCCACCTTGAGGAAACTGATTAAGACACATACACAGGCTCCCACACCACACCCCATCCCACTCAGCACTGTTACAGACATACCAGGTGCTCAGAAAATATTTAACTTCATTTGTTAAGGCACTCAGGTAAAACATTCCAATTTATTCACCTTAAGTCACTCATTTTGTGTGATGAAGTCCATAGATCAATTCACAGGATGTTGCCAATCAAAAGGATATTAAGAGTGTCATTGCATTCTCTCTTAATAATCATGGAAGATGGGTGAACTCTTCTTTTTCTTGTATTTTTCATTTCTTTATTCTTCAATTTTTAGTGAGGTTTTTTTTTGTTATTTGGTTTTTTTGGTACTGGGGATCGAACTTGGGTCCTTGTGCTTGTGGGGCGGGCAGTGGAACCACTGAGCTAAATCCCCAGCCGATTTTTAGTTTTTTAGGAAACCTCCCTACTGATTTCCATAGTGACTGCTCTAATTTACATCCCCACCAGCAGTGTAAAAGGCTTCCTTTTCCCCGGCATCCTTTCTAGCATTTATTATTTTTGTATTCTTGATGATAGCCATTCTGCCTGGGCAGAGATGGAATCTCAGTATAGTTTTGATGTGCATTCCCCTAATGGCTGAAAAAGTTGACCATTTTTATATAGTTATTGGCCATTTACACTTCTTTAGATAAGAGTCTGTTCAATTCATTGCCCATTTAATGATTGGGGTATTTGATTTTTCACTGTTTTATGAGCTCTTTATATATTCACATATAAATCCTCTGTTGGAAGAGGACCTAGTAAAGGTTTTCTCCCATTCTGTAGGCTGTCTCCTCACTCTACAGACTTTTTCCCTTGCAGAAATTTTTAGTTTGAGGTAGTCCCATTTGTTGATTCTTGCTATTATTTCTTGTGCTCTTGGGATTCTATTGAGGTAGTCTTTACCTCTACCTCTCTAATGGCTTCAAGTGTTTCCCCTATGTTTTCTTCTAGCAGTTTCAAAGTTTCAGGTCTTTTGTCTAGGCGTGATGATGTACACCTGTAATCCTAGCACTTTGGAGGCTGAGGCAGGAGGATCACTGTGAGTTCCAGGCAAAGCCAGCCTGGACTACATAGTGAGTTCAAGGACAACCTGAACTATATAGCAAGACCCTGTCTCAAAAAGAAAAGAAAAAGAAAAAGGAAAAAAGAAATTTTAAAAAAGAAAAAGAAAGGAAGAAAGAACAAACCAAAAACAAGTTTCAGGTCTTTGATCCATTTTGAATTGATTTTTCTACAGGGTGACAAAGTTAGGGATCTAGTTTCAATATTCTACATATGGATATCCAGTTTTCCCAGGTATATTTGTTAAAGTTGCTGTCTTTTCTCCAACATGTATTTTTGGCTCCTTTGTTATAAATTGGGATGGCTCTCATTGGGTGCTTTTGTTTCTGTGTTCTCTCTTCTATTCCATTGGGTCTGCATGTCTATCTTTGTGTCAGTATCGTGCTGTTTTTGTTGTCATATAATTTGAAATTAGGTATTTTGATGCATTCAGCTTTGCTCTTTTTGCTTGGTATTAGTTTGTCTATTCTGAGTCTTTAGTTTTCATATTTCATAAAATGACTTTTAGGATTTTTTTTCTAATTCAGTGAAATTCATTGGCATTTTGGAGATTGCATTGAATCTGCAGATCATTTTGAGTAATATGGCTATTTTGACAATATTAATTCTGCTGACCCATAAACATGGAAGATCTTTCCATCTTCTAGAATCTTCTTCAATTTCTTCAGTGTTCTGTAATTTTCACTGTAGAAGTCTTTCACCTCTTTGGTTAGGTTGATTCCTAGGTATGTATGTATGTATGTGTGTAACGTATGTATGTATTTAGAAGCTATTGTGAATGGAATTGTTTTACTGATTTCTTTCTCAGGTAGTTCATTATTGATGTTTAGAAAAGCTATTGATTTTGTATCCTGTCTTCATTGCTATAGCTTCTTTCCTGGCTCTGTTTATAATATACTATACAAGTGCCAAAGCATGCAGTGGCAGAAAGACCATTTGATATTATGCCACCTAAACAATTGAAAACAAATGCAACTCCAAGTTATTACTGTAACCACATAAGTGTAGCCAAATATCAGTCTGAGATTAAGTGTGTGTTCTTTTTATTTTCAACACAATTTAATTAAACACAGTATCATAATTTATATACTTAAGAAAATTTTAAATTAAGTGGAGGAGGGAAAAAGAAATATGAGAGAATTAATGATACTTTGTTTTTTAATCACTACGTACATATCATATTATGTTTTTAAGCCCTGCTTCTTTCACTCTTGCCTCCACCTTCCAGCAAAGGGAAAACTAGCTGTTGTAGTCAGGGCTTGCAAGTTAATAGATTTAATACAGGACATGTAATTTATAGGATTATTTTATAATAGTCACCCAAAAAGTCAAATGCAGATGAGTGCAAGAGATCTGTCCACACACTAGAGACCTGAAGAATCCAACTGAGGGCCGGGATCCCACAGCAGTGTCCCACACAAGTCCATCTGAAGGCCTAGAGCCCAAGGCAATGTCCTCTATGAGTCCAGCCAGAGGCCTAGAGCCCATGGGAATGTTTCCTGCTTATCTGTATCAAGGATCTACAGTGAGAAGGCCCAAACACAGTAGTGGAAGCTAGAAAGCCTGTGCCAGCAGGGTGAAGGTTTGTGTCACCAGGCTGAGGGATCTACAATGGAGCCAGGAAGTGATCCTCACAGCGAAGATCAGAGCTCCCCTGAGGAGAACAGCAGCCATTCTCAGGGACAGAGAGGATGCAAGCTCCTCCTCCAATGAGAACAGACAAGTTTGCATCAGGAAAACCAGATGAGGCAAGCTTCTCCAAGAAAATCAACAGTAGAGGATCTTCCCCTCCAGTTCTCTTTTTATG